ACCAGAATCACCACAAGGTTGCCCGCAAAATGAAGGTTTTGGGTCACATATTTCAACTTTAAACTTTTGTAAGGTATCGCTAATTATTGACGCCGCCATATTGTTATATGTACTTTTTTTAGTAGAATTATATATATCATCATCATTGTCAAGCATTTGATCATTATTTACCCCTTGATTAACAGTAAAACTAGCTAATACTGACTTGTTTGCAGTAAAAAAATTATTGTGTAATGTATCATCAAAATGAATTTGGAGATTTTCACTTGCGGCTGATAGATATGATGAAATATCTGGATAGACTTGACCATTACCAGCAAATGATTGATGAACATTGTTCATTAAACTTGGAAGAAAGTATACATTCACCATATTCGTCGTAAAAAATCCTAAATTATCCGCCGTATCCCTCTTTCCGGGTGGTCGTCTAGGCCTCCTTCTGGGGTAGGCCCTATTCAAAGCAGCAAGGATTCGACCAACATTTGTTTTCTTTGATTCTTCATAGAATGATGCAACGTTCCGTATTGTAAATCTTGGACAAAGGGTGCCAAAGCACGTCCGGTATGAACCTTTTATTTCATTGTATTCTTGAGCAAGAAGTCTTGTATTTAGAGCGACCCTTTCGGCGAGCGCTTCATTTACAAATTCTTCTGACTCTTCACTGGCTATCGATCCTTCAGACGTTGATGCTATAACATCATTTGCAGCACCAATTTCGGCACCAACTTCGGAGATTTCAGTGATGGTTGTTTCCGCGATCTCACCACCTACCGCTGCTGCGCCGGTAATAACTAAACCTCCAACTAAACCTGCCACAGCTAAAACAACAATGGAAGCGACTAAAGGAACTAAAATCTTTTTAAGCAAGTTTTTTTTAGGCGGAGGCGGCGGTGGTGGTGCCAATTCTTTTAGATTATTGGTATTCATTTTGATACTTAGCTCTTTAAGGGCATCATGGAACCCTCGATGGTGGCTCTCCCAATAATTGAATAGTTTGTTTGCCGAATTAATCATGTGATATGTAGCAACACCATAACCTTCAGGATTTAACGAGCTACCTGAACCGTACTGAAGAGATGCGGCGTATGTTCCAACTTCTTGACCAGTCAAATGATCGATGCATTCGGCTACATATTCTGTTGGTTCAATTGACCATTCTGGTGCATCTGGGTGTTTACCTTTACTGCAATAGTGAGCAGTTAGATGAGTTGGAAATACATAGTCTGGGTCAGGAGCTACATGCTTATATGTAATTTTAGGAGTCGGAATCAGTTTCATCGTATAATTACTTAAATAACATTTGTAATTATTCTGGTTTTGTTTGGTATACGATGAAACCGAAAGATTATTCCTGTTTATATCCAACATATAGCTGAAGTGACAATCGTAAGTGCAACCCCATATAGTGATGTTAACAGTTGTTAAGGGTGGCTCATGTTTTACCGTTTGAACATCTCTGACCAATAGGGATGTCGAATAAATAACGCCATCATCGTTAATATGAACCGCTGCATATTCAGAATGTACGACCTGGTCGCACATATTAAAATCATGTTCTACGGTGATCCAATCAGCAAAAACTGCCAATGAAAAATTTAATAGAATGTATAGTAATGTTTTCTTCATGAGTGAAATGACTTTTTTTTCCCTTGTCGAATAAATCAGGTAGACCTTTATATCTCGGAAAAAATCAAAGAGACCACAAGCCTTAAACAGTTTCGATATTGAATTTTTTTTTTTAATTACTGTAACATTTAATTTCGGAACAGTCGATGTATTACTTCATACAGTACATTTATGGGGCAGATCGCAACTTGGGGCACAACATTAACGTCGTTACATAATAAAATTAATAAACATCATTTTTTTTATTATAAAAAAAAGCTATTTTGTCTGGTGAAACTTCTGAAAAGACTCAAGATATTCTTTTACTCGATGTCGCTGCTTTATCTCTGGTTATTGAAACTAACAGCGGCATCATGACACCGTTTATGAACGTAATACGCCGAGAAATATCGTGAAGACGATGAGAAAATTGCACAAAATACCACAGGCACGAAATCGTTTGGAAAGTTATACATATAACTTACCGTAAGCGTTTGTTTAATATTTATTGTCAACCATAACTATTCTATTTGCTATTCGGTATTATTCAACTAGATGATCAATTAAATTATTGATGATCTTTGCCAAAACAATTTTTTTTAAGAGCTAAATAAGTCATAAGTTTGTATTTCGTTTAATATCTTATTACGAATAAAATGGTTACCTTAAATAATTTCTTTTTTTTTTTTATTTTATGCATGCATTATAACAAATCTGTCGTACATTGCATGATGCATTACGAAGTAAAGTTTTTTTACCCTTGTAAAACTTATTTTAAGAAAGGATTTTAGGCCAGCCGATCAACTATAAAGACGGACGAAATTTTTTCTACTTTTAAATTTCTTTTATTTATCTCAACAATCATGTCGAAACAAAAAATGACGAATGCTTTTATATTTCAGAAATTATTAATTCAACAGATAACATTAATGTTTTAATTAATAAATTATTCATACTTTTGAATAAAAAGCTATCTTTAGAATTTGAAAAAACGAAGCAATTTATTAATAATTGCATTGCTCTTACTAATCAAACAACTAATGATATATATAATTGGCTTAAAGAAAATCAAAATGAACCAAAAAATGTATTTTTTCTTGGAGTTTTTCTTATTACAATATACTCGATTTAAAAGAAAATAATGGTGAAGGATTTATTAGTTTCTTAAAGGCAGCGGATAATTTTCCTATTACACAACTATATTTAGGTTTATGCTATTAAGCCATGCAACTTCGATTTTTCGGTTCACGTCACCCGGCCGGGTCACTTTATCAAATCCCAACAAAGAAAAAGTTTATATGTAAAAAGTTTATCATGACTATAAAGTGAATTTTATTGTAGATTAAAGCTTTAATGTATTATCGTTATCTATAATTCCTTTTTATTTTCATGCAACTTCCCAAGCAATACATTGTGCTGAAATTTTTTCTCCAACTAATGTTATTGATGGGCTAAACTTCACTTCAATATCTGCTTCCCACCTGTCAGGTGATAAATATAGAATCAATATATTTCCTCTTTTATTTTCGTTTTTTTTTTTTCAACAGGTAAACCTTTCCAATCCTTCAAAACTTTAGAATTATAACTTATTTTTATATGTATAATAGTCATTTTGACGGAGTTAAGATGTTTTGAAATGAAATGTGATTGTCGTATGATTAGGCCGGGTAAAGAATTTTTTATAATTTTTAGATAAAATTTAAAATTGACACGGTCACCCGGGGTTTTTTTTTTCTTTTTCATATGTAAGTATTATTTATATGTATTATTATATTCTATCGTCGCTTTCTTTTAAACAAAATCACAAAATCTGATATGCTGATTTTATTATGTATGGTAGATATCAAAAATTAACCGAGAATAATACTGAAGATAGACGATTCTGATGACATATTTATTTTCATTGATAATTACATTGCGAAGGGTGAATACATTTGCCAGTATCGCTCTGATGAAGGGATAGTTTGTGGGAATGGAAGTACGTGACTAGAAGGGTGTAGTATTCACTGGAAAAGACGTCAGTGAGCTCTATGCAAACAAGATGGATGTGTAAGACCGACAGCTTCTAAATATAGGTTTTGTAATTTGTATGTCCAGAAGTGTCATTCAAAGGCATATTATCAGCGAAAAAGTTGGATAAGATGCTTCAGAATGGGCAGACTCCAGATGCATTAAAACGGGATCTTGATAAAATAAAAATATCTGATACAATAGAGTGCTGGCCTTAGAAAGTTGTCCCTAGAAAAAATGCAAGGGATACTTCTGAGGACGTTGAAAGTAGGCTTTTTGACGTTTTTAGAATCTTGGAAAGACTTCTAGATAGGCGTCCCTAGTGTCTCTAGAGTCCTTAGTAAATTTCAGACTTCTTTACTTTTTTTATTTTTGAAGCATACATATATTATGCATATACCATCCATATAGTATCCATATATTACCCATATAGCATACATAAATAGCATAAGAAAAGTTTGAATTTTTTTTTACAACTTATTTTTTACTAAGAATACTAGAGATACTAGGGACATAGATAGAAGAATACAATCAATAAACTTAAAAACCCAAAAATCAATATCATAGTTGTCCTTAGAAGCGTCTTCAAAAAAATTTTCCTGCATTTTTCTAGAGATAGCAAAAAACTTAACAAAGTACTTCTGGTACCTTATTTGACGATTTTTTATAGGACAAGATGTGATATATTTATTAATAAAGATACATAAAAAATAATTATCCTAAAGTATATACAATAATGGATTTTGAAAATTATTCTTTAAGACAGCAAAACACTAATTTACAATGTGAACTCACACTAATTCATAAGATTTTAAATATGCAATTGGAGATCAATTCATTAAGAGAAGAAGTTAATGAGCTTAGAAATGAAAATACTAGACTTAAAAATGCAATCAGCTATCAGAAAAATGGAAAACAAAATAAGATAGTAAGCTCTAGCAAAACGCCTTATTCTAATGCTAAATAATTCATAATAGATTATATTTCATTATGGCCTAAAGACGTTCTTTGCAAACAAATATGTTGTACTACTTTATATCAGGATTATCTTACTTGGTGTGATAAAAATGATGAACAAGCATTAAGTAGCAATCCTTTTGGTAAAAATTCTCACAAATGGATATCAATCATAAACAGGTACTAGTAAGTAGTAATAATAGAGAATGGTAATATAAATTAGATCGATCTAAAATCATAAGTAAAATATATAGCTAATTTGTTCTAATACTAGAATAGCTTTACTTGCATAGATATTACCATGCCTGATATTTACTTTATATTCAATTAAGATAAAATATAATAGAAATACTTACAGAATATAAATATACTTTATAAGATGAATAAGATAAACATTATGCTTACTCATTTGTAACAATGGTCTAACAACATCTCGTAAAATTATATATTGAATCACATGATAATAATTTGAACTTCAGGATATGAAAAAGGCATACTTATACTAGTGTAATAGTTGGGTCGCAAATGATACACTTCTGGCAATCAAATGGGTCAGGCTAAGGGGTATAATAACTCAGCATCCAAACAAGCATATGGAACTGGTGAATTAATAGAACTATACTAGTTTCTCATCACTTCTATGACGCTACTATGGTGCTAACTTAGATCCTTCAGATCATGTGCCCAAAAGATCGATCAGAAATTATGCCATAGTACTGATCAAATTTAGACGTAGATTTACATTGAATTTACTGTGCTATCTATCACCTTTTTTTTACACGATTTTAGCATCTAGAAAGGCAACCAAATAGACGCAAAGAAAAAGCACTCTAGCATAAAATCCAGCATCTAATTAGATGTAGAAGGCCAGCATCCTCAACATAAAACCAGATATCCAAACAGCTATAAAAAGCCAGTATCAATAATATAGAATTTATCATCTAAATGGATTAGAAATAAGAAGAAAGCAGACATCATTAAATTATAATATCACCATTAAATTAAAGTATTTCTAACTACTATTAGACTATGAAATCACTACCATAATATACAAGAAATGATTGAAACAATATTATAAATGTAAAGAAGCTACCCATAAGTAGGTTATGAAATCACTATCAGATTATGAATATTAGGTTATGAAGTTACCACCAGATCATGTAATTAGATTATAATATCACCATTATATTATGAAGATACTAGCAGACTATGAAGTTACCATTATATCATAAAGATACCAACAGACTATGAAGTTACCATTATATTATGAAGTTACCAGCAGACTATGAAGTTACCTTCATAACCTAATCTAAGTCACATATGACTTCATGATATAATTATATCATGAAGTCACATGCGACTTGATATTCTGATTGATCAGATTTTTGATCGTAAATTCCATTAACCAATCCTAAAACGTAATCAAAAGTACAAATTTTTGGTAGACTCATCAATAAACATTTTTTTTTTTTTTTAAATGATATGCTGAAAATTTATTAACAATATTTTTATTAAATCAAGACAGAAGAATTTTGTTGTTAAAGGAGTAAATTTTGCTGTCCTGTTGAAAGACATTTTGTTCAGTAAATGGTTTAAAGTTTAACTAATAGTAATTTATTTTCTCTTGAGGTCCGGGTTTATAAGTTTAGTTGAAGTATATAAACAATTTCTAATGGCATGTTTATTAAGTTCTTTTTTTTTAAAAAAAAAAAAAATAACAAAAAAGCGAATAGATACAGTTAATCCACTTTTTTTTTTAGTTCGCAAAAATCGGGTCACTGATCAATAATTAAAACCCAATCAAAAATCTAAGCTATTCCATTTTAGTATTAGAGTCGATCAACAAATCTTTGAGAGATTTGATGAGCTGATAATTTAAAATGTGTCAAATTAATGTCCATAAGCGTCTGAACCAAGCTAATGTATCAAAAATGATGTTTCTTCGACACTGGGCCTGATTTAGATTTTTGTTGGAGGTTTAGTTAAAATTTTTCGCTAGAAAAAGTAAGTTTTTTTTTTTCGCGTTTACTAGTATATAAATTAAATAAAACTGATTACAAAAAAAAAGTTTTTTTAAAAAATAAGGTCAGCAAAGGGGGGTGGATCAACTGACCAGTTTTTATTTTTTATTTCATAATATCCCCAATAAAATAAATTTTAAAAATAAAGTTTTAAATAATTCGTCACTTCCGTAGCAAAAATTAAAATAAAAACTCGTTAGTAAATTTTTTTTTTTAAAAAATAAAATAAAAAAAAAAACCCCCCTATCACCCTGGCTAAAAAAAAAAAATCGTCGCTTCTAATAAAAAAAAAAAAAAATTTAACGCCTCTAAATTTAAAAAAATCATTTTCTTTAAAAAAATACCTTTGTAAATTGATACCATCATCACAATCTAAAATTTTATTATAACAAAAAAAAATAAAATTTGACAAACCATTTTTTTTTTTTTTTGATCCATTATCTACAAAAAATCTTTATTCCCGTCAAGCTTTTGACCTGAACCATTCAATTGTTTCAATAATTCCTGATTCAATTGAAAATATTAATATTTTTTTCTAATTAGATGATCAACGCGTATAAAGTTACGCAAGTCGGCATTTTTTACAAAAATTGATCCTCAACTTTATGAAAATACTTTGATGTGAGTTGAACTTTTATTATCTTTGTTATTGGTTGCAATTCTACAGATTAGAAGGAATGATGCCATAAATACTTGACTTATATCGGAATGATGGCATTTTACAGTGAACACTTAACCTATTATAATAGTTATTATTTTTTTTTATTAAAAAAAGATGTCGGAACAGAAGACTCATACACAAGAGTGCGTCGCTACTATAGATTCGGTGCTCTTAAATATAATATCTGCAAAAAATAAATTAATTCTAGTATTCTGTATTAGCAGCAACTAAGAATTCGTTACTTCCATTTTCAAAAAATCGAAAAAGAATTTAAAGTTTTGCACGGTCATGTCCAAGTAATACTTAAGATACTAGGGAATCGAACTCATAAGAAAAATTTATAAAAGTGATGATTACATTTTTTGAGGAACAGGAAGGAATACCATCCTGAAAAGGATTTTGATAATGTGCTTTCTTTATATAAAACAAGAAGATGAACTATTGGTATGTATGCCATTCCAAATTAATTTTATACAGGTAACTTCTCACTTTACCTGCTTTGTTTTCTGTGAAGGTTTATAGACGCCGGGTCACAGATAACAAAATGATACTTATGGAAATGGATTATGACTATCAGCAAATTCTTCTTAGTTCGGATTACAATGCTGAAAAAAAATGTAGGGAAATGTTGGTGCCAATCAAATGATTAGAAATTTCTCGGCGCCAATCAATTTTTTTTACTCACGTTATTTAACTTTAACAATGAATAGTTCATTAAGCTTCCGTTTAAATGCTTGTCCAATTTGTCTCTATGTGAAAAAACATATGGTAAAGATTGTTTATGCCCACCTAAAGAATTTTTAAAAGTACTTATAAAAAAAAATATATATATATATATTTATACGATTTTTTGCGCTAATACTGTAATTTGATTGGCGCCGAGAAATTTCTAATCATTTGATTGGCACCGACATTTCCGACATTACGACCAATCCGAACAGTGCCAATAAACCAGGGACGATGATTTTGTTGTGATAAAAAGTAAATTCTGTGAAATTTGAGATTTGGACCGGAATTAAGCAAGGTTGGCCAACATTACGATTCGTAAATTCTGGCCAAATTTAGTGTCTACCGAAATTACAATGATTGCAAATCCTAAATTAGGCAAAAACTTGAGCCAAATCTGTGATCCCTGTGATAATTTACATGTCCCGCAACTTTTGAAATTAGCTGTAAGGAAATTAATTTTTTTGCTTAAATTGGATGAATATCAAAAACTTTTTTTTTGATTCAATTTTCAAACGTATATTGCTTATCAGTGATACGAAATACTAGAATTTTTAAATATGCTTTATTTAATATATTAACTGGTTATGGTTATAATTTATCAAGTAACCAAGCATTTAACTCACGCCACGTGGGACCGCTCATTTAATCGACACCCGACTGCAATTACTTTGCCGACTCGTTCATTTAACCGACACGATCATTTAACCAACGTAATTTAATAATGCTAATCACTTTTTTAGAAAAAGTTCTCTTTCTGATTCAACACTGCTATTTATTTTTTTTATGAAAAAAAAAAAAAAAAGTTCTGTAGATAAATTTAATGTATAAAAATGATTGCCGGTCAAATGAATGTTGGTAAAACGTATATACTCCGCCACGTTTCAATACGGCTAGGCTTTCCTTAATTAGTATATTGACTCGTTTATCGTTAAAAAAGGGATAATTAAATACTTTTTAATTCGTTGCATGATTTAGGGAGTGTAACAATGATCGAAAAAAGATTTCTTTCTTAATTTTTTAATTTTCAAATAGACTCAAGATGTATTATGTTGAACTTAAATACAAGTACCTTTATTTACTTATCATATTTCTTATTGCGGTACTTATTGCCGTTAATGGTGCATCTCCAACATATGAAATAAAGGATTCGATTAACATTCTTCGAAAACGACAAGATCCTGAACCACAACAACCGAAGGAGCAACCGAAGGAGCCGGAACCACAACAACCGAAGGAGCAACCGAAAGAGCCTGAACCTCAACAACCGAAAGAGCAACCGAAAGAGCCTGAACCACAACAACCGAAGGAGCAACCGAAAGAGCCTGAACCACAACA